TGCCCAATGTTACGTCACACTCAGCTGTGCCGACACAACCCGATATTTTGTGTTTATAATAATCGAATACTGTCAACCTAAAATTTAACTTCTTTATATTTTAAACTTCATAACTAGACGTAAAATATGAAAATTATTAAATTAATTTATTCGCTCTACCAAAAGGTCAAGCAAATCATGGCGCCACAAATTACGAAGGAGCACTACTTTACAAGTGTGATAGAATATGTTTCAATCTATGTTATTCCAATTTGTTTTAGAAAATTGTTTAATATTTTTAATATTAAATACCCGGGTATAGCTGTAATAGTATAAGTGCAAAAATATTGTCATGTAAGTGAATTCGTAAATTGTCTTTTTGAGAATAGTCTTAAAATCTAAAAGTTTAATTAAATAATTAGGTTCCATAAATTACACGTCCATTCTGAAAACGTGCTGTCAATTTCCCAATTGCACAATAACGACCTTATAAAAGACTTAAACGCGCGCGTGGGTACGTTTGTCATTGTTTTGATCTATTTGCTTTTTCTGTACAAACATATGTAAGTATCTATTATAAATTATTTTTAGTAAAGGTGATGATTAGGGAGATGAATAAAAAGATAACTAACATGGAATAAATCGTTTAATTCTCAACAATTGGTGTCAGGTGTGGGGTATGGCCACACAGCGAGTATTAAACGATTTGAAGGCGGTGTAGTTAGGGAGATGAATAAAAAGATAACTAACATGGAATAAATCGTTTAATTCTCAACAATTAATAATTGCATGTTAAAATGTTTTATTAAACACCCACCTACTAAAGTTACGTCTTTAATTTTAATATTTCAAACGTAAATCTTGAATATATAGCATAATTTAACTATTGGTTATTTTGGGATTATCTAACCGTTACATAATTGTTTTTACATAACAATTGGAATACGGCGAACGAAATAGGACATAACGTCAAAAACATCGCTGTCAATTTTTGACAGGTGTGCTAAACATAACTTCCGTCATGTTCAAGTTCAGACTTCGGCTTTGAAAGGATTTTGTACCAGTTGTTTCGCGCGTAATGAACACGCAGGCGATAGGCAAAAAATAATTTACACACTAAATATTACGCACAAAAAAAATGAAATCAAATTCATCATGTATATAAAATATTTCGGAATATTTTAAGATAGTATTAAATACGTTGGTAAGAAATAGTTAATTTTAAATTAAGTAATGTTGCATAACCTAGTTTTATTATTTATCTTAAATTAACTTCAACTGTAATAATGTTATAGCTTAAAGAGGTGTGCAAAATTCAAATACGGTTTCAGTAGAAAGCGTTGTTTGCTTCAATGCCGAAGTGGTCAGAAAGTTGTTTCGTAACATGTTGACGTAACGCCGCCAAGTCAATACTGACAAAAAATATCAAATAACGCAGCAATGGCAGCGAACCGGCGCACATTGGGCTGTATCAAATTGCTCCATAGACAACTTTATCTGATGTTTGAAATGTCTCTTTTTGTTGCTTGAATGTGCTTTGTATCAGTAAATGCATACCTTATAACG